CCCCAAAGGATCAACGAACTCCACGAAGCAAAAGGAAGATCTACTATATATTAATTAAATTATAAATATATCAGGATGGGATGGGCAAGGGCAACACACCTGAAAAAAATATAACTATACAGAGGAAAAGTGTAGGAATATAAAGAGTTTTAAAAGACATAATACTGTAACATTTTTTCTGCAAAATGTTTACATTAAGTATGTCACTTTTCTTTGAATTTTTGTATTTCTTGCTTACCCAATTTCATAAATATAGGGAAATATGGGAAAAAATAGGTATTTCTATGAAACATAGGAATAAATAAGAAAATATAAGAGTAATTGCCACCTTGTTCAGTTTTATATGATTTTTCACATTATAACAGCTCACATTTCTATGATAATTCTGATGAAATGGTTCAGTTATATGATTTTCTTTTCAAATGATAACAGCTTGCACTTCTATGATAATTATAAGAAATATTACAGTGATGGATGAAGGCCTATTTTTGTTGTCTACTAATAACTAAAACCAATTAAACGGAAAAAAATATAAAATACCTGATGCATTGGGAATTTCACTGCTAGCTCGCTCTTCATCCATACTGAAAATCATGTCTAGCTCAGAGTCTACAAGAAAAACAAACAAACATATGAATAACAATTAAAAGTAAAAACATTCTAAATTAATACTCTTTATATATACATATGGAGTTAAGCACACACACACACACACATATATATATATATATTATTGAAAAAAAAGTCCAACTGTAGATAATCACTGGGTGGTAATTTGAAATGACGGCAATAACCATGAATAGGACATGGAACTTACAATGAAAGTATACTTAAATCCTGATAAAGTTATTAAACTTGGGCTAGAGTTCAGCAATGCGAGTCAAAAACGTTTTTCAAATTGAAGACACTAGTCCCTTCAAGCCAAAAGATTAGGCCTTGAAATATTAGGACAATCTCTGTTTTTATTTTCTATTTTTACATAGATCTATAGAAATATAATACGAAAGTTTATGTTGATATTCAGTGGTGCAAATTCTACTAGTATTATGCAAGCACTGGACCAAAAATAAAAGTACTAAAAAGTTTGTTACAGTGTCAAGCAACACTGTCCACTGTAGATATATCCCTGTGTATGTATTTAAAAACCTTGTATATTATAAATATATAGGAATTAACAGATATATGAGCAGCTCTAAAGAACTTTAAACCTTATCATCTCAAAAAGACTCAAAGGAAAATTTTTCAATAAAAACATTATAACTAATATTTTCAAAAATGTGCACACATGTCTCCAGTATCACATTGTTGAAAGAAAGTCCAACTGTAGAAAACCTCAAGAAAATCACCTATTATTTGTGTCAATATTAGATACAATCATTCTAATGAAACAATCTTCCTTATGAGCCTCAAATGAATATGAACTCCACACATAATACTAGGATGAGAAACTGATGGCTTTACTTTATGTTATTCATCTTCTTTCCAAAATTGTTTTATTTTAAAAGGCATCTTTGTAATTCACATTCTATAGTTTTATTTGGACCTATGTCAAATTTTACAAATTCAGTTGCATTATTTAAAGAAAACGGACTGTAATAAAGTAAAAGAAAGCATGTTCAGTCTGATGGTCATGATTTCTCATAAATTTTTCAAACCATAATTTTGATTGTAACAAAGTTCTGTGAAAGATGGTGAGGCCAACCTTAGATCATATAGATTAACAAACTTTCCATAACCTTTCACTGTATTGGCTTCCAAGTCAATGTTCACACAGAACGACATCTTTGTGTTGCACTGTAATTCTAGTTTTTGTGGCTGTCTTATGAAAATGGACATTACTTTAAAGCTACAGATGGAAGTTTCATCAATTTACAATCCTAGTTTATTATCTTGTTTACCAGATGACATGCAAAGCATCATTACAATAACTTTTTGAGTCAAAGAATTCTCTTTTATAACTGTAGTCTTCACTATATGGATGATGGCATTGCTATGAATCCTTTATCCTCTCTGCTTTGTTCATCAAAATATTGTGTACTTTGGCCCTGCACCATTTAACAATCTTACTGTACTTCTCTACAAAATAAATTTCTATTCCTTTCCAGGCTGATGGGGTCTCACTGATAGCCTCTTTTATTTTATTTTGCACAATGAAAGTGCTTTTCTTTTTATTCTTAATTAGAAAGTTACATTTTATGTATACAAACAGTTTTAACTAGTTTGATTCATTAATATATCTCTTTTGATATTTTACTTTGCTAATCGAAAATATCAACATCCCATTATAAATTGAATATGCATGGTATGATTCACAATGATGTTATTGATGTTACAACCAGTGAACAATAACCTCACCTTACAAAAATAGCATCATTACTACCTTTGTAGTCACTGTAGTATGGTATTTTGACAACAATATTTTTGGTCAAAATCAGTTCACATAATAGTTTATAGTTTGCTTTCATTAAATAAGAAGAATTTGTATGTTTTTTGTTTGAATACTAAACAACATGTTCAACGAAGAATTTATGTTGTATGAATAGTTTGCTGTTGCATGTCTAGCTTACTGTACTCACTGAAGTTCAATAGCTTTTAATATCGTACGTTTTTTTGTCATACAGGAATATTCCTGTAACTATGAAGTAGATGTAAGACAAAAACATTATCAGGAATAAAAAAAACAGTCAGCATTGGATAAAACAAATACAATGAGACTGATACATTACTATACACTCATCCTTACTTTCATTCCAAAATTTATAATAATTGGAAACTATACATACCAGGCTTATAATTATCCAAGTAATATTTCGAAAACTTTGTCTTTAGGTAAGTGCTTTTTTACTATTAATAACAACCAACTTCAACATTTTCAAAGATGTCAATAATTTCCAAATAAGCACTACTGGTTTCTTAACCACAGAGCATTACAGCTTAAAATCTCCCATTTTCTTACACTTATCAGCTTTAAGCTGTATCCACTTTCAAAGCTGAGAACTATTCAATGTTCTAAAATACCGTAAGTGTGAGTTCCACCACTAAATTCACAGCAGAAAAAACTAACTGAAATGTTGAATGATGATTGTAACAAATAAATATAAGCTTAGAAGCTAGCAAAAAATAAAAATGTAGAAGTGAGTTGTTTACAGTTCAATTAGAAACAAGTGTGACAAAATTGTAATTTTGAATATTTTTTTCTATATTTATTCATGAAATAAACTATATAACCATTACTTAATGCTTAATATCAGTTCAACAATATTTTGAGGGAAAACAATTAACGAAATAGAATTCTGTTTTTCAATTAAGTTTCAAAACCGGAAATATGAATTTGCACTCCAAATGACCTGAATACCCACCCACTAGTTATATCCATCCAGAAATAAGTTTACCCACGGCAGAATTTAGCTGTCAGATAGTTGAGAATTTACCACCAAATATACAGGTGCTGAACATATCGTCCATGGTTTCATGACATGCCCTTGTGTACACCACTGCATTAGCACATACAAATTATTCAATAAAGTGAGATTAACTCAGTAACAACCTTTAACTTAACAACAATTGTACTATTACAACCAAAAATCAATAACTATACTTTCCTGTGTACTTCAGTTATATTTGTATACGAAAAAAACAACAACTGAAACACATTGTATAATTATAATAAATAATTAAAAACAACGTTTACTATTTACACAATTAATAGTTTATTGGAGCTGTACGGCTTTAAAACAACACTCTACAAGTACTAGTTTCGATGTGATCTACGTCATCTTCACGAGTTACTTATAAGACATGCTTTTACCCCTTTTTGCATTGTTTCACTATTTACATATTTCCTTGGTCTACTTTTTTTTTTAATAATATAACTGACCATGTATCAACATACTGACTTGCTGGTCCTTTGTCTCTATCTAATACTTCTTTTTGTTTTTTTATATTTCATTATTTCTAATGTTTCACTAATATTTAATGCTATAACACTAAGAGGTTGAGTCAAAATTAGTTTTTTCCCATGATATTGTATGTTGGTTAGTTTTTACATGTTTGGCTAAAGCTGAGGTTTCTATTTTATTATTTCTCATATAACATTTAGGTTCTTGCAATCTGTATTTTAAATTTCTTTTAGGTTGACCAATATAAATACCACCACATTTACATTCTACCTTGTAAATACCCATTTTATCTGTAGTATTCCCTATCATGTCTTTTATCATATTTATTGGTTTGAAGATAGGATAAAAATTCTGATGCTTTTTAAATACTTTATATAATTGACTTGTTAAACCTGGAACATAAGATAAATGTAAAGTTTCTTTTTAGTTTTTTCATAAACAGGTTTTAATGTAGTACTTTTAACTGTGTTTACACACTTTTGTTAAATTTCTTAAGTGCTTTGTCCACTATATTTGGTTCAAATCTTATATTAATAGCTATATACTTAACTAATAAAAATTCGTTATTTAAATCTTCCTGCCTTGAACATATTTTTAAAGATGTATGAACATATGTGTAAAATGCAGGGATTTTTTGTATTTTTATATGACATGATTCTTTGTGTGGCAGCACAACAACAGCAAATGGTTTTCTATAAACTGTTGTTTCTAAGTTACGTTCTGTTTCTTTTCTAACTAGTAGCTCTAAAACATTTATGCTATTATATTCTTCAATTTCATACGTGAATTGAATTGATGGTTCTTTACTATTTAAATAACTGGAAAATTCTTGTAGTTTACTGTTGCCATGTCGCCACACTAAGAATGTGTCATGTACATATCTTATCCAAACTTCAGGTTTAAATTTAGCATTATTTAACACTTCATTTTCAAAACTATCCATGTAAAGATCACATAACAATGGTGACAAGTGGGATCCCATAGATAAACCTCCTTTTTGTTTATAGACATTTTGGTTAACTTGGAAATATGTTAATATATAGTGAGATATGTTATAAAAAAAGTAAACCAATGAAATATGTAAATAATAGTGAAACAATGTGAAAAGGGGTAAAAGTATAAAGTATGGCTTGTAAGTAACTCCTGAAGATGATGTAGATCATGTCTAAACTAGTACTCGTAGAGTGTCGTTTTAAAGTGGAAGCCGTACGGCTTGAATAAAGTTTTAATTGTGTAAATAGTAAATGCTGTTTTTAATTATTTATTATAATTTTAAATATTACACAATTGCCAGTAATTCATATTTACATTGTACAAATTATAAACAGGTCATCTAGCAGACAAATTGAAATGAATACAAACAAACAAGAACAAATTATACATCGTGTTTTTTTTAATTATTCTGTATTTTCAAACAAGAACGATGTAGATTATTATATTAGTAAAACAGATTCATAGAAATAAATATAGCAGTTTGCATTAAACAATATTTTTATGCAGAATGCTGTAACTGCTAGTACTGCATAATCCAGAAAGGCTTTGTGGAATACCCCTCTATTATAAAATTAATATATTCACATTTATTAACTTTATTTGGATTTATTATACAAGAAAGCTGTGTGGATCTAACAAGCAAACAAATGGCTTTTGTGAGCTTTGTAAGTATGAAAATAACCCTTTTTTTAAATTAGTTTCATTAACATTATTTTTGAAATGTTTACAACTTAGTTTTTTTTTTTTTTTTTTAAATGTTGCTTAGTACATGGATTTAGAACTAAGCTAAATATCCAAAACTGGCTAAACCTGATTTATCTAATGTATGTAAATAAATAATTTAACAATAAAATTCACATGGTGCACAATACAACTTCCAATCTTACAATATAACAATACCTTTCTTGGACTTGATTCGTGAACTTATAGGCTGACCCACAGTTGTTAACAAGTAGGGGTGTCCCAATCCTACAGCAACACCAAGTACAGAAATCTAAAGGATATTCAGGAACAAGTTGTTTATTTTAAATGATGACCTAAAATGTATCTGATTCAGACCGAATGGATTAGTATACAAAAGGAATGTCCCATATTTTTGTAGGTTATAACATATTTAACAATTTCAAATTGAATAATGCAAGATATTAATAAAAAAAAACCATTAAAATCTATATAATTTCAAAAATCCACAAGATGTTTATTAAAATAGATGTAGTCGAAACACTAGATAAAAGTGAGCCAATGGCTATAAGGGAAAATGCTTACATGACTTAACAGAACATCTTTACAACATGTGCATTTGGGTTTCTTGTATTGTTTAGCTCTGTGGACCTTAAGAGCAAACTACTGTATTTTATATGATTTCTAAATAACGATATATTCCGTTTTCTTAAAGTTAGTTTCATTAACATTATTAGTTATAATGTTTTAAACATTAAAATTATTTTGCATTCTCACTTAGTTTAATGATTTAGGATAAGGTATTATCGGGACTACAGTAAAAAATATTGATCATAGCAAGAGTATCGATGAGATAAATAAATGAATTCTAATCATTAAAGATTTAAGTTTTTCTGTGTATTGAATTATGACATTATGTACTTCTAGCCAACTTGTTACACAGAGTTAATAGTTTCATTAAATTGTAAGTTATTTTTTTATTTCTGATTTATATACCTGGCTTACTTACAATCAAAACTTTTTAATAATTTACAATAATTGATACAAAACCATTACAAAATATATAGGTTATGAGACTTTGTAATAACTGGATCACATCAATGTCAGCAACATTTGTTTCAAACAAAGATTAGGTGTTCTTAGACTTCATTTGGTCACAAAAAATATTTTAAATGCTCACATCCATATTTTCACACATCATTATAAAAGAACATGTGTACAGCATGCACTGTACTCAACCAAAACGAATCCATGGAAAGATTAAACTTCATTGTTGGCTATGACTAAACTTATGTAAAACATACACTGTATTCAACCATGATGAGCCTGTGGAAAGTTTTTACTATATTGTCAGTTATGACTAAGCTTATGTACAGTACGTACTGTATTACCAGTTGTGACTGATCTTATGTATTGTCAGTTGTGACTGAGCTTATGTACAGTACTGTCAGTT